ACAACTGAAAAGAAAGTTTGTTAAATGTCCAAAAGATTTATAAAAGAACAAAGAGGGTACAGTGGAAGACAGGGTACCTGATTCGGTCCCAGTTGCACTCATAATAAACAGGACTGAAAAGATACCAACACCCAAGTTTTTACCTTGTGGGAGGTGCCACTCCCTCTTAGACAATGAAAAAGCTTTTTACAACAGATCATTAAACTATAGGAAAAAGTCCTCAGGGCTCAGGCTTGTGAGGTTTAATTATTAGCTTCAAAATAATTCAACTGTCCGTAAACAGCCTATTAAATCCACAACTGTGGAAATAGCCTCTGAATTATTTTGTAGGGCCTTGTCCGTTTCAGATGCTAGACAACGCGGGAAATCCGTGGCTGAAATTTCCAGTCCTATAAATGTTTGCATGGCGCGAAGTGGAAAGGCTGGCGTCAGTCATGTACAATCTTTGACCTATTTCCTTTCCCCCTGTAAGAAAACTGCTTATTCCTTTTGGAAACAAAACACTGTGAGGGATTTAAGTAGCAACACAATTTGCAAACAGATTTAGGCTTTAACAAATTATTCTCCACCTGCACATTTGGGGAAACGGAAAGAAGCAGTCTAGCCAAAGCACCATCCTTCAGAGTTTTTTTCCCCTGGCATAAGCTTATGTCGTTATCATTCTTGGGGAAAAAATAATTAGCGTCGAGAAGTATTACAATCAAATAATTGAACAGACTCCCTTCCCTACCCCCTTCTGCCAAATGGTCATTGTAGCCTAAACGGTCTGGCCAAGAGACAAGGGCTTCCAGCTGTTTTGAAAGGAACACTTTGACATATCTAGAGCATAAGCAGACACCAAGGGGGAAAAAATGAAGAATTAATTTGCTCTGAGCTCTTGCCATAACAAAGCCACCAAGGACTGGGGGAGGGGAGAGCATAAAAAAAAATGGATGCATATTTGAAACACTGGAAGTAATCAGGCAGTCAAATTTTGGGATACCATTTCGCTTTTGGAAAAACAAAAACAAACAGGCAACATGATATGTTAAGGAAAACAATGCACCAATGTTTGGTGTGAAATGAACATTTGAACAATGTGCTGAATACCTGGCAGATCGGGCGCCTAGACTGAAGCCCATGTATCCTTCTGCAGGCAGAGAATCATCTCCCAGCTCTTTGAGATCCTGCGGCCCCAAGTACTTGTCCGTATCTCCGGTTATTGCATCGTCACCTGCCAGCACAAAAGCAGGCTGAAATCAGAAGCCATGCACAGAGTTGGAAGGCTTTGCTTAGCTAATCCATTCTGGCCATTCATTGGGCCTGGTTGCTAGAAAGTAAACCTGCTGCATTCCTTGAGGCTTTTGCCTACCCTGATATTAAACTATCCCATTACCTGTTATCTAAATGACATAAAAACCTCAAAGGCATTAATCTATAATTAAGCATAAAGATTATCCCTGCAAATCCAATAGTCTGGCAGGTTTATAGCAGGTGTGACGCTAGTCTGATCTTTCTAGCAATCTCAGGCAAAAAGATTATGAATTAAGAGGTGTTCATCAGCATCTGAGACAACCAAGATCCTGGTCAGCAAGTGTTTTTGTTGGCTGGCTACTGTGAGGAGTGGGTTGGGCCAATGTGACATCCTCCCCAAAGGGACCTGCTCGCTCATCCTATCGCAATGGTCACCTCTCCCTCTAGATTGCTCCTTCACCTCCAAACTGGCAGCTAGGAAAAAAAGAGGGCAGGTTATTCCCTTTGGAAGGCTGGAATTGTCCCCAAGGCTTCCAGTTGCCAACCTGGTATTTTTGTGGTGGGGAAAACACTTTTTCTCTCACAAAATCCTTACCTCCAGAACAGCAGAGTTCATCCTCTTAAGTCTAGTTAAAATATCTTGCCTTATTTATAGGAGAATGAGCTGTGATTGCTTCATTATTGTACAGTCCCGGAGAAATAAATCTGGAATGGTGCAGATTTGGGTCCAGAAAACTTCATTTGAACTGGTACAGATTTTGACAAAGAAAGCTTCATCTGCTACTATAAACTAGCTATTCTTCACTACAATTTACTGTCGAAAGTGTGCAGTGTTGACCAGAACATTAGCAGAGAAGCATTCACTAAAATGGTGGTACTGCGTGGAGCTGTGGCCACTAAGGATACTATCCTGATGACGTCATCTGTTCCCTTGTTAGATATTATGGCGAGCACTTACGTTGTATTGCATGTTTTTAAATGCAGTTTTAATGTTTTATGTATTGGGCATTGGCCCCATCTGTACGCCGCCCTGAGCCCGTTCGCGGGGAGGGCGGGTTATAAATTTAAATAAATAAATAAATAAATAACCAAGAAGACGTAAAATCAAATAGACAAAAGAGATAAGAATTTCAATGGATCCTAGAAGTCTGCAGCACTGCACCTTGGGTTCTGTAGTCTTAAAAGATGTGTAAACAGCAAGAACTAGTGCAGATTAACGCAACCATGGTTTTAGGATAGCTGTGGGATGACATACTTCCTCCTTTAGTCCCTACCCATAACCAGGGTTTACTGTTAACCATGGTTTTGAAACCAGCTTTACAACCTGGTTAAGGCAAGTGGACGGAGAGTAGTGAGGATTCATGTTTCCTCCCACCAGTCCCATGTCTAATCACATTTAAGAGAAGAGTCACATTATGACTGTGCAGGCACACTTGAGCATTAATATTTTCCTACCAAGAAAGATATGAAAGAATTCAAATACTGAGAGAATACAGACAAGTTTGGAAGCAATGAAGGTCTAGGTATTTAGGACACGCTTTGCTAAATAAAGCCATGGAGATCCACCTTAGTGTGAAACATCTAAGGGTTCTGTCTGAGTCATCTCCCAATGCCAATGTTGGAGTAGTGATGCAATCCATAGATTCTTATGCATAGTATAATAGGATTCATAATTCAGCTGTGTCCAAGGATCCTGTGTGGTTTGCTTACTGAAGGGCTGCTGATAGGTTCGGGGGCTCAGGAAGTAAAATTTGGACATCAGGATCAAACAGTTTCAACACGACCTGACAAAGGTCAAGCAATTAACTTATGGGATTCACTGCCACATGATGGCCTCTAGCTTAGTTGTCTTTAAAAGGGGATTCATACAGAAGTGGTCCATCAATGGTTATTAGCCATGAAGACCAACAGCAGTAATTCTTTGAATATCAGTCCTTGGGGCCAGCAAGAGGAAGCTTTGGCCTCCATGCACCGCTTGCAGAAATATCAGATTGCCTACTATGTGGGACAGGATGGACTGCAGGTCTGATGTGGCAAGACTGCTTTTATGTCTCCTGCACCTGGTTAGCATAAGTACAGTGGGCTGGATCCTACATCCACTAAGTGAAGAGCCTTGCTCCCGTGGAGGAAGTTACAGTAGCTAATGAGTTACATCTGAATCCATTACAGTTCTTCTTCCTTCTGAATTATGCATTCCAAGTCCACATGTAGATGTGGGTTCAGAGGCACAGGAATCACTTAAAGGAATGGTCTCAAAAATAAAAAATATAAGACCTGAATTGGTACCAGAGTACTCAACCTAATTATAACTCTGGGCCAAGGCTATTTCACTCATGCCATTTTTCCAGAGAAAAGGTAGCTATACAGGCACGTTGCAAACAACAATCACAAAACAATGTATTTGTATGCTGATTGTCCATATGTCTGGTATTCTACCACCTGCACGTATGCCAGAAAGCAATGCCTGCCAAGTGTCCCTGGTGCAGCATAAACTGATGGCTAGATGACACAGTGGCGTCTACTCAGGGGTCATTTCGCAGAAAAAGAGGTGCAGGAGCTCATTAGCGTAACTCATTAGCGTAACTTATTTGCATATGCCACACCCCCTGACATCACGGAAGTGTGTCAGAAGGCAACACCCACCGCTCAGGTTCCACTGGACTGTTTTGGATTGCTAGCTATTGGGGGGGGGTAGAACATGCAGATCTGTCCTTGCAGAGGAGGGACGGCTTGTACCTGAATAAAACTTGG